TGTGTTTTGCATATACATTATGTAATACTTTCATAATTTTACTACTCCTGCATTTCTGTTTTTAGTGTATGTTCGCAGTACAAAAATCAAAATGTTAAGTCGGTCTTTCTGTAAGCTCATTATCTAGATTGTTTGGCATCGGCTCTGAATTGTGTCTTGTTGGCTGTAGAGGAACTGAGTAGATGTTGGAGTTGTTCAGTCTAATTTTTTTGCTGCTGGAAAAGATTGTAGGAGTGTCTTGTGCCTCTTTATTTCCCTTATGATTCTCTTCATTTGTTGTCATGGTATTTCTGATAGTGTGATCAGTAATACAGCACTGCAAAATTTCAAGTTTCTAGTGTGCAGCAGTGCTGGGGAAAAAAAAAATCAAATTCCTTTTTAAAAGTAAATAAGTACTTTTTTTTTTTTTAGGGCCATAATAATTTAGAATTGTTGTAATAAACCTTTTTTTAGTTTGTTAGATTAATCTCTCTGATACTTTCTAGAATACATACTGATTTGTAAACTGATAGCTCATCAACAGTGATGCAGATTCATAAATAAATGCAGTACTGATAGCATTAGCTTTGTTTTTAAATGGAAGGTCTGGCAAGATGTCTGTTTTAAGGGAGAACATCTGCATCAGATGTTTGGGGAAGGTTCTGGTGGCTTCTTTTTTGGAGGAAGAAAGCAGGACAAATTGAAAATCTTTTATTACAATTCAAATTATTCTTCATATTTAGAAAGTGAATCTGAGGATAGCTCAGATGATGAACCTTTAATTAAAAAGCTGAAGAAACCACCCACAGATGAAGAACTTAAGGAAACTGTCAAGAACTTGTTGGCCAATGCAAACTTGGAGGAGGTCACAATGAAACAAATTTGCAAGGAGGTAAGGAAATATGATTTTGTAATCTCTTTTTAGGCAGTAGGTTGTTTGTGAACTGACTTTTTGTCATCATTTCAGAAATGGAGTCTAGCACTCTGCACTGGTTCAGAAACAAAGTAGTCTTGTATTGATTTATTTACTTGCTAAAATCTATAACAAGGAGATCTTTAATCCTAAGATATACAACACTGATATCTGACATTAGAAGGAAAATCTCCAAAGGAAAATCAGCTACATGGAAAGTAGCGGTATTACCTCCAAAGCAACTGCCATGTACTAGACTGAAAATATTTGGGATGTTGAGATGGTGCAGCAGGTTACTACTGTCAGAAGGGGAGGGCTGTGTCCTGCTCTCTGTACATTTCTCCTGCTCACTTTGCTCTCATTCTTCATATGTTCTCTTTATGAGTCCATTCAACTGTCATTTATCAGAAAAAGGTGAATAGTTCTCAGCTGAGTTAGTGAGTTGAATCAGTTCAGCAAGGAAGCCATTACTTGTCAGGAGAGGTGCTGGGAAGGGACTATATGGCCAGAAAAGGGAGAGGTGGGGAAAAGTGACCAAAACAGAAAATGCTGTTACCTTGGCATTTTCTACAGTCAGTTAATTCACATGTTTGCTTTCCTGGTACTTCCAAGAAGTTGTCTTGAAAATTAAACCAGAGTTATTCTTATGAGGGAACTGTGTTTATATTCTTTACAAACTTTTTGTCACGTTTATAGTAATTCTAGAGGTCTGACATTTGATATACTGAAATAAAATATTCTGCATTGGTTGTCAGTGTTGGCATCTGTTTCTTGTTTGGTCCTCTCCCACCCAGTTAATCACATAATAGTTGTAGAATAGCACTCAAATATGTTGACTTTTCTATTAGCCACTTGGAAGGATCATAATTTTACTTATTAACAAAAAATAAATAAACCTTGGATTTTGGTATTTGTTTAGCTTCCTACAGTAGCGCAGAGGTATCTGACTACATAGAGAGTATGTAAAACAAAGATTGGAGAATTCTTATTTCTTATTTGCCTGACATGGCAAGCTAGGCATTCCAATTTGTTGATGTGAAAAATTATAGTACCAGTGTTTAGTCAGTGACCAAGCATAAAAAAAACCCACCTTATGTATTTAAATACTTATGTTGTTGAAATAAGGACAGAAAAATAAGATTGTCACTCTCCATAATAAACAGAGGGCATGTTGGCAATTTTAATACTAGAAGTATCACACAAATTTTTGCCCTAATTTAAATTAAACTCCTTCTGTTTATACAATACATTGAATGAAAGTAATTTGAGGTTTGTTTTGTGTTTGTTTTCCTTTTTTTACCTTTTTTTTTAGGTATATGAAAACTATCCTAGTTATGATTTATCTGACAGGAAAGACTTCATTAAAAAAACAGTCAAAGAGGTAAAGACTTTATCATTTAGAAAACATTCTGGGTTGTGGTTCTTTTTTTTCCTCGAGTCTATTAGAAAGTGGCATGGCATCCTGTTACACTAGTCTTAAGAGCCTTCTATATAGTATTAGAGGTTTAGTGCTCTGATACTTTTTTTTATTTATTTTGTATCCCTCTTTCAAAACTAACCGTTTTAGGCTCTCTTTTCTTAGCATGCCACTACTACTCTTGTGAATTTCTTTGGTAAGCAGAGCTAAAATGAAAGCTTTCATAATTTTTAATGAATTTTACTTTCTCAAAACTATACACTTGCTTTCAATTACATCTTTAGCTGTAAGGTGCACTATAATTGATGCACTGACCAAATATGTTCATAGGTAACAATGCTTGAGGGTTGTATAAGCTCTGCAGAGCTTCAGGCTCTGGCAGTGAGAGAAGGCAAAAGAGGATAAAGATGTAGCTGGCTTTTTTCTGTATGTGCTCCTGGTAGCAAAGTTATAATGTTGCCTTTGAGTTTGCTGCACTGAAGATTAGGCCTGATCTAATGTACTCACGACAAAGGGTTTATTGTCCAGTCTGTAGTTGGTAATTTGTAAAAAAAAAAAAAAAAAATCAAGTTCAATTACTTTTGTACCAAAACCAAAAATGGGACTAGAGAAGTGAGGTTTACTTGGTGAAGTTAAAGTAACTTTTTTTTCCCCCCTGTGGCTTCATTTGCAGATGTTGATATATGGCTGTCTAGAAATAGTTCTGCCTATGTGCTGTGCATATGTGTATCACTATCAGCAAAGGCCTAAGAGCAGTTTGTCTGCTGTAGGGATGTTCTTGGGTTTATCGTGATAGCAAAAGTAGAGTGTATTTCCTTGGTAGTCTGATGCAAAAGGAGAGGCTGTATGTAATGGGATTGAGAGAAAGGAGAAAACTAATACATTTCTCTTTTCAGTTGATTTCATGATCTGATTTGACTGTGGGAAATGAAGATTCCTGGTTTTATGTTCCCATGGATTTGAAGATCTGATAGGCACCAGCAAAAGGAATGTGTCTTACCCTTGTGGTATTTAGTCAGAGCTGATTCTGCTGATCTAATGTTAAGAGTGTTGATGTAAATTGCTTTGTGTATCTTTTTTTTTTTTTTAAAAAAAAAACAAACCCAAAACAAGACTGCATATGATGCTGTTTTTAGTTGAACATACTTAAGTTTTGTGCATGGCAATAAATGTTCCCTTTTTATATAGTTTTTGTACATTTTAAATTGCTTTGTATAACTAGATTCATTAGAACCATCGTTGCTTTTTAGTGTGGATCACTAGATTACCAGGAGACTTTAAAAATCAAGTAAGATGAACGCTGCTTATCTGCACATATACATGCAGAGACTTGGAATATTGCAGTATTGGTTATAAAGATATTTTGAATACATATCCATTCTGAAAATAACAGGAGTTAGTCACATGTTAATGTCTTTTATATTCTGATACATTCTACAGATGCAGAATTATTCTAAATCTAGATTACTATCTTGCATGTGTAGGCACTGAGAGAACTGTCAAAAGCATGGTAACTAATTGGCATATAGATGTTATTTTTGTACTTTTAAAAGGCTTTCTGTTGTGTGTATATAAAGTTATTTCAGATTTCTTTTGTGCAAATCAGTTTTTTAATCTTGTTGTTTTAGGATTTATGACATGAAATGTCATTGTTCAGCAGTGAGGCTGTGATGAAAAGCGGTATGCAGAAGTTTCATGAAACTACAAATGAGTTGAGGTTTTACAATGTTTGTTCCATCTTACCTTGTACAGAAACGAAACTGTAGTTTTATACTTAAGCTTTTCTGCATTTAACTTTTTACAAAAGACTACAGATACTTTTGTTTCAATGGCTTGACATAGTAAATAGAGTCCCTCCAAAGGCTATAGGAATATTTCTGAAGTTCACTTTGCAAAAAATCTTTTGCGTTAGTGTCTTGACTTGATGGCTTAGCATCTCAGGAGTGGGCATCCAAGATGTACAGCTGGGAGGCTCGATAGCTTTGGAAATCCACAGTGGGGCTTCCAAATTGGGCACTGCTGACCTGTGTGGTTAAGCTCTCCTCTGTATGAGAAAGCTATTCTGAACCTGAGCCTTGGTGCCTCAACATGGACAACGGTACTTTTAAGCCTGCAGTCTTGCACTCTGGCCCACAGCTTTTCAGATCAAAGTGAACTCTTTGCATAAATTTTTGTTGTTTAGGTTTGTTCTCCATACACCTTGTTGCTAATATGGGAAGGCCTACACTTAAAATCATAAAACTAATAGTTGCCAAAGTGTGGGCTGCCATTAATGCAGTGAGCACAGAATCCCTCTGACTGTAGTATTGTTGGAAAGACAAAGGATATTTTTTTGAATTTTATTATTGTACAGTTGAGAAATAAGGGTTCATAAATGATCTAAATTCTGAAAATGTTCAGCCACTTAGGCTATTAACCTTCATACACTTCTTGAGTTTCTTTGCGTGTAATCATTTATAATAAGGCTGAATGTAATGGGGGGTTTTTGTATTCAATAAATGTCTTTCACAAAAATGTAAACCAATTTTGATGATCTAACATTTGCTTAAATGTATAGTAAAAGAAAAAATTATACAGAAACAAGGTGGTTGTCTTTTATCTCATCTGGTAGAAACTATCTAGCCTGATTGCACAGGCTTCTCTACTTCAAAGGTAGTATTGCTGAAGTGTATGTCCTTGCACCAGGATAAAACTTTATATCTTCCATGAGGTTGGTTTCGTTTTGTTGGTTTGTTTTTTTCCTGAACTATCTTACCATAAAGAACACTTTTTAATTAGCAATTAAAAACATTAAAAGTTTTCCAGTCCCACTTAAAAGTAGAAAGCTACTTGTGTCAAGTTTTGTTGGGTTGGGATGGATTTTCTACAAAGACTTAAACTGCCTTGTGATTTTTACGTAAATATGTAAATATACCAGTGGGATTTAATTATGTGGGTCAGGAAGTGTTTTTAAGATGAGCGACTCCCAAGTATAAACATTTTTAATAGTGAAAATTCTAATGAAAACTTACAAAAGCATTACTTGCCACTTTGGAATTGCACAGATGGAATGGAAATGAACTCGACATCCTTCAAATACTTTCTTTAAATCTTTTTAACTACAACTTGGTGTAGTCCTCAACAGAGAAGAAGTGTCTGAGCTGTTTCCCTGCTAATCCATACCAGTCTGACTGCAGCTGATACAAGATTCCAGTTCTTTCTACAGCTGGGAGAAAGGCTGCAAGACAATACTAAAAGGTAAATAAAATGTCCTGCTTATCCTCAGGCTATTGGATTAAAAACTCAGATGATCAGGGCTCTAAATTCTGTACAGAGATGCTCATAATAAACAGAAACTGGCTAACTGGATAAAAGGTAACTGAATAAAGTGTTCAGGTGTATACCTTCCAGATGCTTAAGATTGTCCTGACCATTGTATTCTAGAAAAATAATCCTAACATCTTGATTTGATTTCTTACGGTAGAATTCCTACAGTCCAACATGTTGGTTCCTCTGTTAAGTCTTTAGTATTCAGTATTTTGGTCCATGACCTTGCAAAACCACACAAATGAACCCGAATGACCCGCTTATATAAACAACTGTTCTTATGATTGAGCTTGGCACTTGAGGTAACAGTGTATGGGCCCTGTAGGAGGAGGATGGAGAGGGCTGGGTGGGGAAAGGGAAGAGTAGAAATTTTGAGTGGAGAGAGGTTCTATGTCTTTAGGAAAACAGCTGAGTTAGAGCTACGTAGTAACCCATGGCATACTGCTCAGGCATGTCAAACCAAGATGGAATTAGGAAGACACAACTTTAAGTACCATCCCACTTTTTTTCCAGAAGCTCTAGACTAATACAGTGGTTGCTTTCCAAGCAGCTTTGCAGAGAAGGAGCTGGGTAGGGGCGGGTGCTCCTCAGACACCAAGTTAAAGCCAATTTGGCAGTGTGCCCTTGTGATAAGGAGCACTGACAGCACGCTGGGCTGTTTGAGCCAGCAGCTTGAGGGAAGTGATTATTCCTCCATGCTGAGCACTTGGGAGCCTGCCTTGGGAGCACCGGGTCCAGCTTTGGGCTCCCTGGTGCCCGACAGGCATGGACAGACTGGAGCCAGCCCAGTGGAGGGGCCACCAAGACGGCCGGGGCTGGAGCACAGGGTGTAGGAGGGGAGGCAGAGAGAGCCGGGCTTGTTCAGCCTTAGGAAGAGGCAGCTAAAGGGGGTTCATACTGCAGCCTGCAACTGCCAGGTGGGAGAGTTTGGGGAAGGCTGGGCCAGGCTCTGCTCGGAGGTGCTCAGTGAGAGGGCGGGAGGCAACAGGCAGAAGCTGCCACCGGGGAAATCACAGTTAGGTGTTAGGGGAAGAAAAGCTCCACCGTGAGGGTGGTCTCAGGAGGGGGGCCTGGAGCAGTTGTGGAATCGGGGTTGTTGGAGATGTTCAGAGCTCAACCTGGCAGGGCTCTGAGTAACCAGCTCCACGTTGGCCCTGTTCCAAGTGAGGGTGTACTTATCCCCAGGACCTCTGGAGATATTAGGACAGCAGTATTATATAACTTCCCCTGCCTTTTCACCTCTCCTTGTTCACTGGCCTGCACTCATGCATAGACTTGCTACTTCACTTCTATTTCTGATCTAGGTTTTAGACAGCTAGGCTAAAAGGAAAAAACAAATTTCCCTCACGCTAGCTATTATCTTGAAGGACTGTTGTTCTATGGGGGAGTGTGGTGAAATCTACTTGTGTACTTTATTTAAAACACAACATTAGTATTTTGTTTCCATTATAAAGATTGTTATTCTTAGAATGAAAACATTTTCAAAGACCAGGGTCAGGTATAATGAAAATAATTTCCTGCAAGGAGTTAGCATTAGGAGAACAAAGCATGTCCTTGGGATACAGTTATGGATAGAGTGGAGCAAGTCCAGAGGAGGACACAAGAATGATGGGGGGGGTGGAGCACCTTCCCTGTGAGGAGAGGCCTTCCTTTACTTACAAGTGGCTACAGGAAACGTGAGGAGGGACTCCTTATCAGAGATAAGATGAGGGGTAAGGGGTTTAAACTGAAAGAGGGGAGATTTAGATTAGACATGAGGAAGAAATTCTTCCCTGTGCGGGGGTGAGGCGCTGGCCCAGGGTGCCCAGAGCAGCTGTGGCTGCCCCCTCCCTGGAAGGGTTCAGGGCCAGGTTGGACGGGGCTGGGAGCCCCCTGGGCTGGGGGAAGGGGGCCCTGCCCGGGGCAGGGGGGGTGGGACTGGGTGATCTGTAAGGTCCCTTCCAACCCAAACCGTTCTATGATACAAACTTTAACTACAAATCAAGTATAATAGAGTTAGGGGAAAGCAGTGAATCTTCCACACAGTAATGCTTTCCCTGGTTCAGACCTACATATGTGACTGGTTGATATAAACGTTCAAAGCAAGTCGGAGTATTTTTTTCCAAGTTGCCTGCAGTCAGACTTACACTAAGTGAACATCTAACCTCCTATTCAAGAGCTACGTAGATAAGTGTGATCAGAATTTGTCATTGTCTTTTAAATGTTTTGGGTATGTAGTCAGGCTAGCACATGTCTAGAGTGATCTGTGCTAGCAGGAACTTTCCAGAACTATGATCCTACAAAATACTTCAGTTATTCAGTGAAAAGCATTAAGTGTTTTTTTGGTGATTTTTATGGCTATTTTAAAATTATGGGCATTGCTTCTAAACAATTATAATTTTAGCTTAAACTTCTTGCTAAGGAAGATAACCTGATACAAACTTATCAATTGCTTTGTAAACTTTTAAGGCAAAAGACACTGACTATTAATGTTATTGTCCAAATAGAAACACAGTTAATACTTTGGGCTTAGAGAAGGCTGTAGAGCAGCACTTCTGAGGAACTGTCTAGCTGTTGAAATATACTAAAATTAAATCTTAAATCAGTAGCAAATGTAACAAAAAAAGTAGGCTTAGTCACTCATTAAATTTAAAGAAAGAAAACAACCCATGAGCATCCTGTGGATACTTTCCAGTTTTATTCTGCTGCCATAACATAGTCACACAGAAGAGTTGAAGTGTAACAGATCATGCTCTGCATTCAAATATTTTTGATAACATTTAAACAAATCTACTCAAAGAAAACCTTCCCCAATTCTTTGCAGGGAATAAATTAAACACAAGAGAAAAAACACATACATGCTTGAAATAAAATTTAACATAGGTTTTAAAGTTTTGGGGAACATTAATTAAAGAATGAAGTCTCAGAACCAGCCTGATGTTCTTACACATTTCAAATGAATGTAAATTAAAATGGAACATACTTATTTTACTTACTCCTCAAACTTAAATGCAGCACAACACAGTTTAAGTGCCTTGGCACCAAAATAATATACAAATAATTCATAGACTAGGCCCTTGGTAAATTTATCATCTGTTATCCTTTTCTTAATGCTATAAGTGTGCAGCACCTAAAGCCAAATGTGACAGTGTTTATTCATGTCCATCTCTCTTCTCTAGAATATAGCATTTATCAACCTGCAAAGTTGTAGATAGATTTAACACCTGAAGTACAAATTAACAGGATGGAAGCATATGCCTAAAAATCAAGCATGTTCACACAAACTTTGGACTGCAGAAGTAGATACTGAGCTCAACTTTCCAGAGAGGCCCAACCTAAAAATGCAGTGTGTTTACATGTTATTAAGCTGACTGAAGTTTTGACCAAATAAGTAATAAGCCTTTTTCCCACTTTCAGAAGCTCCTCTCCTAATAATTTTGTCCTGTTTCATAAACTGAGAAACTTACAACTCCAAAATATGCAGCACTCAAGCTTTCCAAATTATGCTATGAATTGGCCTAGAACAAATGAAATTAACAAAGTGCAAATGATTTACCAAAATCTGATGTCTGATTATCTTTTATCATCAGATTATTTTATGTTGCTTCTTATAGCCTTTAAATTACAATTTAATACTTGGAAATACTTTAAAACTGTACATACTAGCATTTATGTAGAGAAAAATTATGAACAGTTACACTTTTCCTATTAATCCATATATTTCAGCTTTAAGAAGCAGAACAGAATATATATCTGAAAAACATCTAGTTATATAAACATCTTCACCTTGTAAATTAGAGATTAAATAAGGGTATTTAACAATACTAAAAAAACTAAAACCAAAATATTAGGTATTTAAGAAGAACTGCGCTTATTCAGTAGGATTTTTAAGGTTGCCTTTTTTTTCCCCCAAGGATAGAGCTTTATGCAAATTATCACTGTAACTCAAAAAAAGTTTGCTTTGTCATTTTAGAGATGAAAAAAAAAAGAAAATAGCCTATGCATGAGAGTGCAGGAAAGAATAAGTGCTTACTTTTCTTCCAGAAATCATGAGGCCTATGCTGTAAAGTTATAGGGAAGGTGTGGGGGAAGAGATCTAAAAGTTGATTTTAATTTTTTTTCATCAATACCATTTTAGTGGAACAGTAATACAACAGATATCCTGATTGTGTCTGACATTTCTATTGAACAATATATTGTTTTCTTCCCTGTCCCATAGAAAAGCTATTAGATGGATGCTTAGCCCTTACTGAATTACTCGCCCAAGTTGGTTTTAATATTTTAATAACAAAAGAAAAAAAAAACACACCTTCAAGTCAAAGTGCAAGCCACCTTGTTTCAGCCCTTCATAAAAGTGTTAATATTTTTCCTCATTCATCTTCACTTATTTTTTAAATATAAAAGCTGAATGAGCCGTAAGGAACTTAGAGTCCTTCAACCCCCACTGTGCACTTATCAGTACATAGTTTCTCTGCTCAGCCCAAATGAGTTTGGAAATTTGTTTTCAAAATAACCACAGAAATATAGTATATTTAAGCTGTCCTTTTTCTACATGATCAGAAGCAATAAGCAAATCTAAATTTAGCCTATTATTGTAACAAGAATTTCTCTGAATAAGTAGCAGAGAATGTTTCAAAGTTTTTTTAAAGTATTGTAAAATTTAATTTTTCAAGTTTTTATTAGATACAATAACCTTTCTATGATTGCACTGTAAACTGTTCCAGCTATCTAAATTAAAGGAACAAACCTGATATTCCAAAGTCCACTTAGTGGAGGCTAATAATATGAAAAACGTTACAGAAAAGGTTATTGATTGCAAGTGAAAAGAATGTTGAGTTCCTTCCTATAATAAGTCTATAATTTGTCTAGGCTATTCAGGCTTTTGGGAGCAAGTCTGAATTCTTATGAGCATTATCAACCCAAGAAGTACAGTTAGTGGAAAATTCCCATCATAATTTCTAACTGCCAGCATTTTGAATGCTGTACATTTACTTAGTCTTGTTTTAATTTGACCTTCCGAAATGAAGGTTTATGATAGCATGGCTTGAGCCATACAGAAAAGGAATCTCAACAAAACTTCTGTTAGTTAAGCTATAGCCAGGGACTCCAATGTCACTCTTGATAGTAATACCTTATCTGGAAAAATGCCCTGAATAATATGTAAAGGGGGGTGGGGGACAAAGAGGAAAATCACGAAGATTTTATCTTCAGGTACCATATACTATATTTAAGTACCACTTAAGAAAAAGGCAGCAATAGGAAACTTGAAGATAGTTTTACCCACAGAAAACAATTAAAAATATATCTATAAACACAAAATTTCAGTACTTAAAATGCTGCTATTTTGCTCGCTTCTCGAACCCCACTCAAGTAAGCTCCCGTAACGGTCTGAGGAAAGTGCCTGTTTGTGGCCTGTATTTAAAAAACAAACAAACAAAAAGTGAATTATTTCTAAAACTTTTAGAACAGATAGAATTTCAGTTTGTAAGATCAGTTGTTTTCTTTAAGCATATACCAACATTTTTAAAAGCCATTGGAAACTCCTTAGAAAGAATTTAGGAGGAAATATTTAAGATTTTTATCTACTTCAAAATTTGCAAGCAAGTCAATGTAGTAGTCTGTTTTGCCATCTGCACTTTAGTGGGGCAGGTGAGCTGTGCCAGTATAGAATGCACCTATATCATCATCAGCATGCGTTTGTTGCGTTACCCACAAATGGAGTAACAGAAAGACATGTTGACTACAAATACAAGTGGATTGTGTAGTCTTGTCATGTTCTCCACTTATTGGTTATGCAGTTCACTCCTGACCTGAAATATGTGGCAGACTTTCCATGCCCAATAGTAATATGAATAAAGAGGGTTCTGTGTCAAAATGAAGAAACATTAGTATATTTGTGTAATAGAATATTTATATGCTACCTTTAGGCGAATGGTGTTGGTTAGCAAAAGACAATCTTTCACAAGAAATAGTTCCCCAATAGCCTTAATCAACAGTAACAAAGATACTTACCTCACCAGCAAAAAAAATTTTTCCTTGTATGTCTTCAGCTGTAATGTCATAGGCTTCACCACTGCCCCCTGTTTTCACAAAACTATACGCCATCTGGAGCCAAGGGTCTTTGCTCCATCGAGTAACAAAAAACTTCACTGGGTCAGGAACCTCCTGAATAATCAAAATAAAAGTTATGCACTGCAAAGAAAAGCTCATAATTGCATAGCTTTTTCTCACAAACGGTCTCTTGTAATCTTTAGAGTGGGTAATAGTATTACGATACAGATCAGATCACATTCCAGAATTAAATTCCAGTTTTCTATATTATACTAGTAACCACAAAGATAATTGTGTTTTCTAGACTTGCCTGGTGCCTGAATCATCCCAGCTGCACTGTTTTGAATGCAACAAATATGGATATTGTAATATACCTAGAACTACATGACAAAAAAAAAATCTCCTCAAAATACATAGATACTCTTGCAAACATATAAAATACCAATACCAACATAATTCAACATGTTTGTATGTATAATGTGAACACTTTTTATCTCGGTAAGGAATGATGCTTTGCTACTTCTAGCTTGTTAAATCTCAAAATGTAACCATCATTTTGGAGATAATTTTATTACAATGGAGAAATAACATTACTTAGATAAGATCAGAAAATGAGCTGTCTTGAAAATTAGATTCAGGGAGAAAACAAAAAACAAAGTCAGAGTGTCTGTAGCTAAGCCATGACAGTAATACCGTGTATTCTTTGTCACATTGCAGCATGCAAATTCCCCACGGTTCGACCAAAAATAGCCTGGATAACAACTGTATGGAGGTTTAAGTCAACTACAGCTGGGTCTTACTCTTGAGCTTGTGACCAGTAAACAGAAGCAACCCTGGTTACCTCCTACACAACATCTGGTATCAGCAAACTATTCCATTCTGGTAGCACATGAGAGACTAAAGCTCAAGCAATCAAGACAATGGCTAGCCAAGTGTGGACATAATTCATGGACATCCCAGAAGTTTGGGTACACCCGTGGAAGCTATCTTGTGTTTGAAAATCCTGCTGCATTGTGGACAGATGACTGAAATTCATAACTGCTATAAACCAGAGACAGAGATGAAAAATCACTCTTCTAGACTGGAGTGACACCAAAACCAAAGACCCGTTTGCTACCTCTGCTATGTTCTCATGAGATCAAAATTGCAGGTATGTGGACTTACATTGCACATTATTCTGGTAACTGTTAAGCCATTACCAAAAGTATGTTTTCTAGGAAAAGTCAAGCTTTCAGATGCCAAAGTTTTTCTAAGATCATTAATCCTGACATCTGAACCATCAGTAAAACTTGAGAGATCACCCATGAACATTAACACAGGCATTCCTTGGGATCTAACTGCTCTAAGTAATTTAACTAAGGCATTACTGTCTATGAAGTGGAATGCAAATAACATTGTTAAATTATAGTCTTCTGCTTGGCCCAGGTTTCTCTGATTTTCCTATTAGTTTTTATCTTAATGATGAGCTGGGGGAAGGAAAAAAGGTAGAAATTCTTATCTGATGTTTTTTTTTTACAGTCAGGATCTAGGGCCTTTGATAGATCATTTTGCCTGTACCTCTATCACAAGACAGCTCAGGAAGGGTTGGTTGTTTCTTACTAGAAGAGTAAGGGACTGGCTTGGTTTGGGGGTGCTGTAAATTTCAGTTACATTTTACATGGGATGGGGTGGGAATCATAATAATTCATTTAGCTTAAAGCTTTTATGTATTGGAAGTGCTGATGACCAAAAAACAAAACAAAACACACCAATGTTTAGAAAAAGTGGCAGCTAAGAAGTGTATTTGTGTTACTTGCCTAGAGTACTAATTTTAATTTATTTTCCTTTCTAAAAGCATTTTAAAGGATGATAGTTCACTTCTTGTTTTCAATTCATTACCATTTTCCTTCAGACAGATCTAAGGTATGTCAGGTCATGTTTTTCAGACAAGAGACCAAACACTGTGTTTTTAGTGTATCTCAAAGGAAGGAACTGACAAGAAAAGAAAAATCGTTTAAAATGTCAAAGGTTTTCCTATACATCATGAAGTAATATAATAGAAAGCTTTATGTCTGTTGGCAAGTTAATTCATCTCTTAATAAAAGAGGCTTCTCTTACCTGCTCCTTAAACAGTTCTCGAAGTACAGTCATACACTGTTGCAGTACTTGTTTATCATCTAAATTCTTAATGGTTGTCACAGCATCTCCAGTGACCACTGACATTAAAATGCTTTGTTTGCTCTAAAAACAAGACATTCACATATGAGATCATTTAGAAATCATTAGGTTAAGTATTTCTTGAAAAGTCCCTTTTAATTGGTATTGACAAAGAGATTTTCAGCTACAAAACAACTTTTGTGCTAGAGGAAAGTGGGTTTGATTCCTTAGAATAAAGGGTGCATATTCTACAAGGGGCCATCAGCCCCTTTTGCAACTTGATGAATTAACTGAAAACATCCTATCTACCTAAAGATTTGGCATTTATAGTGTTACTTTTTTGTCACAGACCTCTTAAGCTCCAGCTCTGTGCCAAAATTCTACCTCAACTGTACTCCAATTTCAAAAGGTGGTAACAAAGAGAATCTATTTAAGTACTAGATAGTATTGGTCCAGTCTAAACATATCTGAGTTCTTACTGGCAGAGTTTGGCCTAAGAAATGAAAGTGCAGTTCTACTGCTGTTTCCTTCCACTTTAAGAAATTTGCTACCATGCAGAAGTTTCAAAGATGAAGTGGTGACTATAGAATAGCACACAGGTTCTAAACGCCTTTAAATAACGCTCCATGTCTTGTTTATGTAAGGCAATTCTTCCATTACTAAACTTGAAAACTAGCAGAGAATAACTATCAAGCAAATTAAGAATTCTATCTAGTGTCTCTGGACAGCACCAGCACACTGAACCTCATGTAGAATGAGCTTGAAAGTACTGAAGAGCAAACTGCTTTAAGGAAAGTCATATACAGGTACAGATAGTGTAGTTACAGAGCACAATATTCACAGGATGGTTTTCCTTTTGGAGTAAGCCATAAGGTTACAAAATGGCCTTTTAATTGCTGCCAAGTAGTGAGCAGCAGCTGTTGTAAAAGCATGAAATGTTAAGATATGTGTGTAATGTGTCTGCTTGGAACTGGCAGGGAAGAGAAACATGATGTTAATGCACTGGTGTGAATTTGTTTTGAAATTCATGAGTTTGGGACTGACCCTACAGACCTCAGTTTCATTCAAAACCTACTGCTTGTCTTCTGCCATTCCACATCATTATTCATGCTAGTGCAAGCCATTAAGTGTTAATAGGCCAGCATGATGTTTTTAACAGGATTTTTAGCTTATTTATATAAAGGAACAGAAGTCCTAAACTGGAAATGACGGGTAGATTTTTTTTCTCTATTAGTACATCTGTAAGTAAGGTATTACAGACTTGTTTTCAGAGTAGTTTGAGAATATAAGCATTAACTTGCTTGTATATTACTTTGTATCCAAACATAGGCAAACATTCCCATCTATTAAGTATCAATCAGCTATTTCTTGATAAATAACACTGTTTCCACTTCTTTTAACAGTTGCAGGGATGGGGGGGAAGAAGAAATCTGTCTTGTTCAGTAATTATGGCACCTAGATTCCAAACAATTTCTGAAGGGTCAACAGAAAATACAGCCAGCATATGATACCTCTGGATCCATGTCATAGAAAACACTAAAGAGCCCACGTTGGCTGGAGTTGGGTGGAACATGACCAAAAAAATCAGCTCCTTGAATTTTACTATCCCAAAATCTGTAAGGAAACTGCAAGGCAATCTAGAGAGAGAGAGAGAGAGAGAGAAAAGTAAAGCTTTTCATACCACAAAATTCATAACTGGGCATGGTATGTGTTCTAATTATTTTTTGCTTTTCCACTCAATGAGAGACACCCAGTTCTCTGAGATAGGGGGGCCTGTTCTCCAAGGGGGACAGGGAAAAAAAAAAACGCTAGTCTTCCAAATTGCAAACGCACAGACTATCCCATTCACAATGGAATTCACTATGGAAAATGCCCAAGAAATTCAGCATTTGCACATAGTGATCCCCATCCAGTGTGTGGGGATTCTGAATCTTGCCTTCAAATTTCAGCACTGTTATAATCCTGTTTCTGGCATTACTTCTGTTACTGTTTCGTTCTAAGCACTCATCTTACTTGGGATCTTTTCAGGAGAGACTGTCTTTTTGCACTGCGAAAGGGTAGGAGGTTTTACACTGGTCAAATACACAACCTGGAGTATTCTTCGGAAACAGTTCATGTATTCATTAGGTTGGAAGGACCAGGAATAAGCATATTATTAGAATTTTGGAAGATCTAAGACCATCATGAAGGCTTGCTCAAAATTAGGCACAAAACATTTAAGCTGTGAAGTGATTCTGCAAATAATTTATTTTAAAAATCCATTAGGTTGGAAAGTCTAAGAAACAGAAATACATGTAATCCCCGATAGCAATTTGCTCTTCTGGGCTACTGTATACAAGTAAAACCAAATGCATAGTAAATCCTGAGAATACACAGCAAAAACAGGGACAAAGCAGCCAATGTTTCTATGGAAAGAAAATTAAATATAATCCAAAAATTACTTACCTTCTCAATGACTCCTGCTCCCAAACTATTAATGGCTTTAATTTTTTTTTCTGATAGTGGAGGATTAAACTGAATGGTATTTTTCTGAAGAAGGGCCAGTGGTACAGTCACTAATACCTGAAAGAAATAATTACAACAGTAGCAAAAGCTGAATACTGCACTTAAGCCTCACAGCATCCTCTTAACTATCTGGGATTATTCTCGTAGGATGCAGCATAATACTCACCAGACATCTCTAGATTAGTGTCTGATTTTACTCCCCATTAATGGGAAAGAACATGCCTTACATTCAGGTGAGAACAGATCCTGCAGTTCACTGGTTTTAAGTTGTAGTCTGTTGAATTGCTTATCTCAGAGTGGCTAACCATGCTACTAATTTTAATACCTCCTGTAAATGACAGTCAATAACTCTCAGATTAACAAAGCTGTCTTTCTGAAAGATGAGATGATGGTCACTGTTTTGGTTTGGTTTTACTTCCTTCACAGATCCCTCCTCTTTAAAATATGCTGAGTAACATTGTTGATGTCAATCCAATCTTGATCAAGTTTATGTATCATTTTAAAAATTACTAAAAGCTAAATTACACAGCATGAAGCAGGTGGGGATACAGAGAATAAGGGAGACTGAGAAAAATGGGTTGTCAAGTCCAGCATACTAAAGGAAAAAATTAACAGGGCAGATTCACATGCTAAATGGGGTAAAGCTGAGTAGGGAATGGAACCAGAAAACATAACTGTCACTTCAAAGACCAGATAAAAATTATTTGCTTCACATTTTTAGTACTACCTCTATAGTGCTTAATTCTTCAAATCAGCTAGTACCCAACACTGAAGCACATTCAATGAAAAATAGCCTCTAGGACATCAGAATATGGGACATTAGAATATATCAGTTCTCATCTTTCAGTGGGGAGAAATTGGACTAAATAGTCTTCTGAGGGGGGAAAAGAGAAAGACAAAAAGGACATGTACTGTGATCAATATTGTTCCTGTGTTCCCTAAAGTCCTTAATCATGAAGCACGTTGGGTACCTTTTGTGTTGTCCACACTGTTCCATCTGCAGTAGTGACCTGTACTTCTTCACCAGAATAGTCAATACTCTGTACCTATTGAAAGACAGATCATATGGAATGCAAATTCAGGCAAGAATAGCCAATATACCACAAATCTGCAAATGAGAAATAGAAGAACACAAATTTCCAGAGAAATATTGAAAGAAAAAAACCCCAACCTCCATGGAAGCTGAAAAAGAAAAATCATCGTGATTCTAACACGTAAGCTCATCATATCACAGTATTTGAGTACTCAAAGAGGATTCTGAGAAATCCTTAAAGTCAAAATAATCACAGGCACAGATTTGCCTCGTCTAAAAGAATACAAAGATATGACTGAGTGCTTCAAAGCAATCCAAGACAGGCACTGCATCAACATTTTCCAGACTCACTGGGAAATTCAGCCGGATGTCCAGCCCTTCTGCCAATTTATCAATCACAGTAGAATATCCCACAGTTAGAAGAGTGTGATCTCCAGCAAACTGGGCAAAAAATTCATTGTGGTCCCATGAGCGTG